ATGTCATTGTGAGAGTACCATTTGATGTTAGATTAGATTAATGGGTTGATCCAAAGTGACAAGGTCTATGCACGAGTGTTTGTCAATATGCATTAATCAATTCATTACACAGGTTGAGCTGTCCCTTTTAGGCAAACAATAGTTAGAAAACCATAAAAATCTCTGTCGAGTCTAAAATGGGACATTATGGGCCGAGAGAAATCCCCGGTTCTGCTTAGCAACTTGACTCGTTGACTTCCGATCCAGCCATTTGTGTTGTTTTGAAATCAAATCATCTTGTTGTTCAAAGGCTTGGTATAAGTATGAGGGTGGTAGATTAGTCTAACAAAAAATCTGATTCTTGTATAGGTTAACAAGCAAGTAATTCTTTACAAATTTTTTAATTTTGACATGAATTATTTGATCAATCTTAAAAATGTACAAGAGATATGCAATAAATCAAATACGATATCAATTCTTCAAGGACCATCAATAATATGAATTGAGTTAGTAGGATCCCATTCTTTGACAACAATAATTCTACTGATAAAGTATAATCTATTTATGATAAAATAATGATAGTATTATCCTATAATTGATGCAAGGATGCAACAAAAGGAAAACCTCAACCATATGCTTATGTTTGTTAATAATTAATATGATTATGCATGCCTATATCTGGGTGCTCATGCATTCAAAGATCACATCACACATGCAACTATATCATTTTCCAAAAAGGAGAGAGACAATTTCCTTCTTGCGTCTATTCTCAGAACTTCATCAAGAATATTAATTTCTAATCCTACCTTGTATACGACTGTGCCTATGGCCCTCAGTAGTTGGCTTGTTCCTGCTTGTATAACATGTCTAAACCTTTTTCTGCTTCAATCTCATCTTGAAAGCTTGAACTATCTATAAACTTAAAAAAAAATGTGTTGCTGCTAATTAAATGAGGTCTCTACAGTTCCAACCATTAAGCCAAATGCAAAGTTCTATCTATTTAAACCAAGATTCATGGGAATTTTCAATTATAATTTCGCAGGGCTTTGCATGAGAAGGAAGAAAGTGAGAAGAAACAGATGACCAGAGAAAAGTTCTTTCTTATTGTCTTAGTTTGCAGTTTTTCATGGTACTTGCTCCCAGGGTACCTCTTCACAACACTAACAAGCATCTCATGGGTTTGCTGGATTTTCTCCAAGTCTGTCACAGCCCAACAACTTGGTTCAGGCTTGCGGGGACTTGGACTTGGTGCTTTGACACTAGACTGGAGTGCAGTGTCATCCTTCTTGTTCAGTCCGCTCATTAGTCCTTTCTTTGCCATTGTCAATGTTTTCGTGGGCTATGTGCTGGTGGTGTACATTGTAACTCCTATAGCTTACTGGGGTGTAGACTTGTTCAGTGCAAGAAGGTTTCCCATATTCTCCTCACACTTGTTTACAGCTCGAGGTCAACCGTATGACATATTAGCCATCGTTAATAACAATTTCGAGCTAGATAAACTGAAGTATGAGGAGGAAGGACGAATTCATTTGAGCATGTTTTTTGCTCTCACCTACGGGTTTGGTTTTGCCACCGTTGCCTCTACGATTACGCATGTTGGTCTCTTCCATGGAAGGTACTATCTAATTATAGACTCACTCTTAGATGCTTCTACTTATGAGATTATATCTCTTAATTTTATGAATCTGAATCTAGTAAGCATATTTGATGTTGGAAATCCAAAATTCATTTATATTTGCTAGTTTTATGAGACATATTTCATATTTAGCATTATTGTAACTTCCTTTTAGAATCATAGCAAGAATGTTCTTCAGTTCTATTTTTAAGAGAAATTTTTAAGGATTAAATGTTATCCTATTTTCAACATTTTCTTCTTCACAATACTATAAGTGCCAAGAAAATTACATGAACTATAAAGAATGGAGTATGTAAAAGCAACTTATTTTTTAAAGTTCAAATACAACAATGACTGTGATTAACAGGGAGATATATCAGCGCTATCGTGCTTCTTACCAAGGCAAGGAGGATATCCATACAAAATTGATGAGAAAATACAAGGACATACCTTCATGGTGGTTTTACATTCTTCTTGCTGTCACAATAGCAGTTTCTCTTTTACTCTGCATCTTTGATAAAAAGGTTCAGTTGCCATGGTGGGGACTCCTATTTGCTAGCGGCATGGCCTTTGTCTTCACCCTTCCAGTCAGCATCATAACTGCCACAACAAACCAGGTGATTAGTCATCTGCTCTTTTTTACCACTCTTTAAGTTAATTTGTCATTGAATACATATGTTTCGATTGCCTCCTGTCTCTGCTGATATTTTGCCTCATTCTTGCCATTCGGAATGAAGCAGGTCTCAAACAATAACCCTTCAATTTACCTCAGGCAGAATTGAAGCATAACACCAATTTTTATTTTTTATTTTTTATTTTATTTTTTTAATTTTCTACCTAAGTTAAAGGTGACATTTTGTTGCGACTAATGCATCCATGGTCCATGTACAGACTCCAGGTTTGAACATAATTACAGAATACGTAATTGGTATCATATATCCAGGAAGACCTATTGCCAATGTCTGCTTCAAAACCTATGGGTACACGAGTGTGGCTCAAGCAGTCTCCTTCCTCAGTGATTTCAAGCTGGGACACTACATGAAGATCCCTCCAAGATCCATGTTCTTAGTTCAGGTACATTTTTTTCTGTTTTTCTCTCTACCAATATCTATCCATGCATAGAATAATATATTTAAGCTAGCTCACCAGTTTGGAAAACCAGGTAAGAGAAAATACGTCAAAGAGAAACTGAAAAAATGAAGTTCATAAATTATGAAAGCCCAAAATGCCAAAGAACTTGAAACACAACCTGACTCATAAACCAAAAGATGATGATACTTGGGCATTTTACCTCAAGAGACTGCTTTTCACCAGAACACATTCTTTTATTTCATGTTCAACAGATTAACACATTCTAGTATTTGACAGATTTTTTTTTCCCTAAAACAGTTCATACAGGTTGTTGTTGTTGTATGTGCTTTTTTATTTTTATTTATTTTTCTATTTTTAATACATTTTAAAAGATTTTTAATTCCATATGCTCTTACATAGTTCATAGGAACAGTTCTAGCTGGAACGATCAATCTTGCAGTGGCCTTGTGGTTGCTGAACTCTATCCACGAAATATGTCAAGATGATCTCCCTGCTAACAGTCCTTGGACATGTCCCAATGACAGAGTTTTCTTTGATGCATCTGTAATATGGGGTTTAGTGGGTCCAAGACGAATCTTTGGATCTCAAGGCAGTTATTCGGCAATGAATTGGTTCTTCCTGGGAGGTGCATTAGGACCTATCATAGTTTGGTTGTTGCACAGGACATTCCCCAAGCAATCTTGGATTCCCCTAATTAATCTTCCAGTCCTTCTAGGAGCAACAGCATACATGCCACCAGCAACAGCTTTAAACTACAACAACTGGGTCCTAGTTGGAACTATTTTCAACTTTTTTGTCTTTCGTTACCGAAAGCAGTGGTGGCAAAGGTACAACTACATTCTTTCAGCAGCCCTTGACGCAGGGGTGGCTTTCATGGCAGTGGCTTTGTACTTTGCAGTGGGCATAGAAAATATAAGTGTGACTTGGTGGGGCACAAATGGTGAACACTGTGACTTAGCTGCATGTCCAACAGCCAAGGGTATAGTTGTTGAGGGTTGTCCGGTGAAGTAATGCATGTATTCCTCTTTTAAGTGTGTAATCTCTTTTAAAAGTTGGACAGCACAAAACTAGCAAGCACCAAAGCACTTCAGTTAACGAAATGAAGCATAACTGAAATCTATGAGTATTTATGATAGATATTAGAGAATTAAAACTTCCTCTTACATTCTGCTACATCCCCCAGAAAATATCCCTGTAAGATAACAATTTGAGTCCCGCATTGTAATGTTATTAACATGAAGCGCACAACAAGGTTTTTAAAATTGGACCAGTGGTAAAACTGCTCCTTTCCAGAGCTTCTAGGTTGACTGGTTGGAGCAGCCCAATTGTAAATTGTAAAAAACTGCTGAAACCTGCAATTTTCTGTGATCCCAGTTGAACTGCAAGTCACTGGTTCTTTATAGTTTTCTTGCTCAAGCAGTTCAAAGTGGTTCAAAAAGGTCTAATCACTCAAACAATACTATGGGGCTTTTCCAACCTGTTGAACCTGCCAGTCTGGTCCAATTTTGAAGACATTGCTTCAGGGACATGATGCATCTTCGCCATATCTCAGTGGTGGATGAGACAGGAAAAGGATAACCATAACAGTTTCCTTGGGGGATGGTCAATTGTTGTCTGTGTCAATTAAATTATCTATTGTCTATAATATGAAGCCAGATTTAGTAGGACACCACTGTAATTAGGATCCTCATAGGAAAAAGAAAGAAAATTATTAAGCTAATGACTTATGAGAAAGACAACAAGAGGCAATAGAAGGTTTACCAATTTAACAAATGGGAGCATCTAATTTTTAATACCTTGAAGGAATCACGACTTGTTCATTGACACCCATTGATTATACTCATCCATTCTTATTATAAAGGAGCTGGAACTTGGAGAGCCACCTCCACCATATGCCTTCAAGTTTACAAACAAAAAGTCAATGTACTGGAAATTTGATCTCAAGATCTTAACATAGAAAAAAGGAAAAAGGAGGGGAGAGGGTTGTTGCAAAATTGCATTGATTATGTGCACACCTTTGCAACTTCAGAGGTATCAGTTATACTATTGGTGCTCCTCAAGCACATCTTTAGATTAGTCCGTTGCATGTATATAACAACTCCAATAGGCCTACATCATCAAAGAGCTACATCACCTCTAAATTATTCCATCCAAAGGATACATTTATAGCTATCACACATCTAGTGTAGCTTGTCAGCTAATGGTGCTGCATAGAAGGATTTTGTCAATAGGAAAACTATAAAAGCAACAATAAGTATGACTATCTCATGAAGTGATTATATAAATGAGAAGCAGCATTTGAATTGGTAATACAACTGGGGATCCTGTTTTCCTCTTAGCACTTCAAAGATATGCTTGCCCTTAACTTAAGTAGTTTTTTCACATAAGAAACTTCTAGTTTGAAGAAATTTTAAGAGTCAATGTGTTGTAGGCAAGCCATAATCCCCAACACAATGAAATAAATCCATGAAGTGCTAGCACTTAATGCATTTCATTGAATTGCTGCTTAGGTTTCTTAAAAAACTCTCCTACCATACAGGCAGAACCTCACTGTTGTTATTTTATAAATACATAGGAAATTTACACAAATATGTTACTACAACAAAGATTATGCATTTAATTTCCATCTCCATTAACAATGATGAACAAGGGCCTAATGCAGTTACTATGCCACCAAATGGAGCTGAAACCATGGTGATACTCCAACTATCATGCCGGACATTTCAGACAATAAATGCAAATGACAATTTCCCCACTCAATGGTCAAGCTCTTCGCTCATAGAAAGTATTAACAATACATAATGTCTACTAGCCAACCATTCAGAAAAAGGTCAATAATGTAGTAAAAGCACCTGGTTGACTGCTTTGGGGAAAGGAAACAACACTAGGATGATGCAATGCAAGAGTGACCGCTGACCAGACTGGAAAGAAGAATAAGCAGGATATTGTAAATTTTTAGCAGGCTCTGCATTGAGGATTTAGATCCAAAACTGAAAACTGACAATCAGCTGATTTAAAAGCAAGAGCACTTTGCCCCTGGCACAGCAATTCTAGAGCCTTCTTTTAAATTGAATCAAGTAAACTAGTGGTCTGAATTGTGCATAAATTGAACCCTCACATTTCACCTCAAATTAATGGGCAATTTGATTACTCATGTATGATTTACATGACTTGTTTGTACCAGAATTATTCAGTCAGAGGATTCTCCAACACCCACAATATACAGAGAAAAGGAAGTCCTTAGATACAGTTGCCTACTTACCTTAGACCTGCTGCTGCGCTTCTTATGCTAAGTTGCTTGCCAATTTCATCACTTAAATCAGGATTTCCATCTGCTCTAACTCCCTAAAACCATAGTAAATAAGAAGCAAAAAAAAATCAAGGTTGGATGATGCAAAGATATGCTTTTGAGTGATGATTATTTGAAATGAGATGATCTGCACTCTGTAATTAGTAATTACCAAGCACTCCCCATAAAATCCTCCACCTAAGCGAACTTTAAAAACCTTATCCAGTAACTTGTTTGCAGCAATCTGGCGAGAGGAAATAAATAAATTTCCCTTGGAAACCAAATCAGCAGAACTGATCTCCAGCAACTGCAATAGAGACACAAGACATCAGCACCATAATACTAGCTGAAGGCTAAAATGGTGCAACAAACCAGTATCAAAATGTCTCATTTATCATCCTTGAAGAAGGAATAAAAAATATTAAAAAAATATGGGAAGAAGGAAAGTAACACAAGGAGCAGAAATCAAATTTTAAATCACTGAACCTGCTCATACAAGAATGGATTAGTGATGCAATTCAGCTTTGAGTGCCATTCACGCATTCCAATTCTAAATGCTCTAATGTCAGGTAAGCTCCATGTACGAAGATCTGCATCGTCAATGTACCTTAGAACCGTTTGAATGCGATCTTGGTCTTCTAGGTTAAATAAACTAGCATCCTCCACCTTATTTTGGTCCATAAAACAAATATCACTTAGCATTTATCATTACTAAATCTCTAATCCTAATCTACATAAAAGCAAATAAATAAGATAATTAGACTACTACTTACATCAGGAAACTTCATATCTGCAAGCTTGCTAGAAAAATACTCATATACAGCAATAGAACTACACTTCCCAAGATTAACATTAAATGTGACTCTCTGAGGAATATCTTCAGAAGACTTAAGTTGCCCAAGTACTGATTTTCGGTGATCAAATCCTATTACCCTATCAAACAATTGTTACATCATGCAGTTAAACATATTGATTTAACAGTTATCACAAAATCTAATATGCAAATGAATGGACAATGCAGAAGTGTGATCTCAACTTACTCACACATTGATCTCTGTGAAAGCTTTACAGCAAATCCTCTCGGACCAAGCAAGTCAAGAAGGTAACACCTTTCTAACCCTTCAACATAAAAATCTTCAACCCTGAAACAGAAAATAAATAGAAACTCAGAAACCCACAAATTCAGAAGCTTTTAACTTTTCCATTTCCTCTAAACAGCTGAACATGGTTCCAAACATATGAACAAACCGTAGTGTGTAAATAACAAATCAGATAAGCTTGCAATGCTGAAATTGGAATAATTGGAATTCACTTTCTTTATTGTTCCTAAATTTTCTAAGCGTTCAAACAAGAATTGAGAGAAATGGAGGACCTGAAGGGTTCAACGGAGGAGAAAGGCAATATCAGGCAAGGGAGATTGAGACGAGAGTGGAAGAGGTGAGCAAGGAGGGAGGAGAATGCCCCGGAGAAAGACGGATAGTTGTAAAGGACCAGATTTGGGACTCTCTCCTCTCCGGCTCTCGCTATTGCTCCTAGCGCTGCGTCTGATCGGAAGCTTCGCAACCTTGAAACAGGAGATTGTACAGATACCGCCCTCCATTTCCCGGCCAACCGGCTAGCCATTTGCGGCGTCTGCAAATCTTCCGTCTTGTTTTCTGTTTCAGTGATGTTGTATGGTTGGGCCGGAGAAGCCCATGGTAAGATCCTACTACGTACACCTCTCTGCAGCCCGGCTCAAATATCTTGTGGGCTTTAAGCCTCGAATATGATCACTTCACCCCCCTTTCGTATGATGTCTAGAATGGAGGTTAAAAAATTTAAAACCATTTTTTTAATTAAAAATAATTGATAATTATATTTATAAGTTCATAATTAAATAATTGGTATGTAATAGCTAATGTACTATTTTAAATCAGTTGATAAATATATTTTTTCACACACCTTAACTAATTTCTTTAAGAAAAAACAACTATTAAATAGTTTGTCATTCTAAACCATGTAACGTGACTGAAGGATGAAGCTAGAATTTGTGAAATTTTTTGCATAAAATGTTCTCCATTTCAGGACTCTAGTCCAATGATGTGGCAGTAGTAATATTTTAGAACAGATGTTTTAAAGTCAATTTGCACCAAGTAAAAAGGCATGAAATTGAAAAGAGAATTAGTTTTGTTTGTGCAAATCAAATGGTACGTATATTTGATATGAAAATTATTGAGAGAAATAATTTAACCAATTAAATTATTTCGGGGGTATTTATTAAAAAAATTATATTGGAGACTTTGGATTAACTATTTAAAGTAAATGAATAATTGATATTTA